TATTTTTCAACACATTCGCATAGGTTGCTGCAATTTGAGCATCGCGTTCGCATAAGCCTGCACGCGTTCGTATAGTGTGGTTGACTGAGCTAGGCAGTGGACATTTCTTTTTCGCGTTCACATTTCTTTGTACGCGAGCTCTTAGAGCATTTTTGGTGGCATTATATTTTGTTCATGTCACGACCCAAACCTGAACCCGCTCATGATGGTGCCTTCGTGAAGATAAGGCCAGCTGTCACTTCTCATTTTCCAATTTTTAAAAGTTAAGCATTAAGAAACAGTCGAAACATGATAAAATAATCCAAAGTAGCAGATAACGTCATAAATACGCGGAAGAATAACCCAACACAGCCCGATATCGGGGTGTCACTAGTCATGAGCACTACAAGTTCTAATACAAGTCTGAGAAGTCTATAAACTATTACAAACTGTCTGATATAGAGATAGAAATGACAAAGAGGGAGAAACACGGGACTGCGGACCTCGTGGACTCCGATATCTGCCGGGAGCTCTCAACTCACACTGGCAGGACCCGCAATGCTTGAATCTATACACAGGGGTGCAGGGAGTAAAGTGAGTACTCCAACTTAGTGAGTAACAAATGTAAATAAAGACTGAAAGCAAGAAATCACGTAACGCACCAAACATTCTATAATGAAGCAGTAAAACCATTTAAAATCAGTAAATCAGTGAAAGATAGGTAAAATCCTTTAACTCAGTTGTAGTTTAATGAAAAGCCTTTTTCAATAATTAAGCAGGTAATTGACAGTCAATTATGAAAAGTAAACACATAAAGGCTCGCTCCTCGGGCACAGTATCAACAAATCCTCCCTACGGGCAACATCTCATAACAGTACCAGCCCCTCGGGCTCAATCTCACATCACAATGGGTACCCGTGCTCACTAGGGGGTGTACAGACTCTTGGAGGAGCCCCTTACGGCCCAAGCGCAATATCAAGCCACCTCGTGGCATCATCACTAGGCCCTCGGCCTCATATTAATCAAGTCACCTCGTGGCATACATATCTTAGGCCCTCGGCCTCATAATTAGTATCAAATGTTTCCTCACAACTTAGTCCCTCGGCCTTACTCACTCAAAAATCCTCACAAGCCACTCATGTAGTTGTAAAACATGTTTCTCAGGCCAAAATATCATTTAAAAGATCATGTAAGTATTAAAATAGAGTAAATATGGCTGAGTACGAAAAATAGTGAAATATAACATGACGGAGTTCAAGTATAAAGTCAAAATAGTGAGGAAATACCAGTAAAAATCCCCAAAGGGTACCAAAATATGGCATTCAACCCAAATCATGATGATAGCAAATAGATTTCAGTCAAATACGCGGTAAAATAGTCATTTGGGACGGACTAAGTCACAATCCCCAATAGTGCACGACCCCATGCTCGTCATCAAGCATGTGCCTCACCTCAATATAGCACTATGATGTGCAATCCGAGGTTTTGAACCCTCAGAACATCATTTACAATCATTACTCACCTCGAATCGATCAAATCTCTAGCTCGCGAGACATTTGCTCCTTGAATCGGCTTCCACCCGCGTCGAATCTATACAAAAATCAGAACGAGGACGTCAAAATATGCTAAGGGAACGAAGCCCAAGCAAAAATAATCAAAATACGACGCAAATCCCAAAATTTCCAAAACCAAACCCCCGGGCCTGCATCTCGGAATTCAATAATTTTTACATCAATAGGTTCCTTATCTCCCCACGAGTTCATACATATTAAAAGTACTGAAATTCGACCTCAAATGGTCCTACAAATCCCCAAGCAAAGGTCTAAGTCTCCAAGCCCTAGTTTCCCCAATTTTCACCCTTAATTTCCATGATTTCTAGCTCTAATCCGTGTAATAATAGCATAGAACGAGTTTTAAGTCCAAATTCCTTACCTCAATGAAGTTCCCTCGAAATCCCTCTTCCAAATTGTTCAAAAAGCTCAAAAGATGAGATAAAAATGGTGAAATAGCTCAAAATTCGCGAAGGCCACAATTTATACCTTCTACCTAGACATTTTCGCATCTGCGGCTATATTTCCTCTTCTGCGGTACCGCATCTGCGGTCAAAACCACTGCATCTGCGGTTCCTGACGGCTTACCCAAATTCCACTTCTGCGGCCACCCTTCCGCTTATGCGGAGGTGTTCTAGTTTGATTTCGAACAGTTTTTTGAATTCAGTCTTTTTGTTTTGGGTGTTTTGTTGTTGTTGCTGGGTTTACCACTCTGTCCGGTCTTGGTTGAGTGCATTTTCTGGGTTAAGTTCGAGTTTGCTGTGTTGACTGAGCAATTACTGGATTTTGAAACCTTCCTGAGTTGTTAGTTCTGTTTTTCTAGGTTCTGCTCATTACTGTTGCTGATCCTCTGATTTCTGCTGTTGATCCTCATCTTTTCTTGTTGAAATTCAATTTCTAGGTACATGCTCGAAATTACATTGATGTGACCACAACTTGGAGTGAGTACAATGGAATTGATTGTTCCGTGTTCATCTTTGGATGCATATAGCTGTAATTGTTCAATTAGAAAAGATGTATATGTGACTCATTGAATTCGACTTGTATTTAGGACCGTTAATGTAATGGACTGTATAAGTATGTTTGTGAAAATTGATACATGATTTGCTTTCAACAGTTATAAATAGATTCAAATGGACTTATATTTTCAGCTTGCTATACAGTGGTCCCGTTGTGAAGTCATGAACCATTTAGTTGACTAGTGTTAGTTCAAAAGAGATCTAGGAATTACATTAAGTTCGTTCCTGTAGGGTGTTACTGCTGCTGTTGCTAGAAGTGATTTATAACTTTGCTTGTTAATTGTTGGCTTTAGTAAATGTTCACCCGTGAATAGGGATCAAAATAATATGAGCAGGAACTGCACTTCAAACAATCAGTGTCGTATAATTACCGGTCTCAACAATTAAGTGTAGGAAATGTTAGTTGAATAAATTCGAAGACAATTAGGTCTGTTTTGCATTACAAGCTGATTTGTTAGACGTTGCTTTCCTAGTTACCCGTGAATGCATGCTAAATTAATATTGTGGCCAGCTTTAAGCTTCTGTTGATTTTCACGTTAGAAATATTCAGGAATTAAAATTCAAAACGTTGATATCTAAACTGACTTGGACGAATGCCTTGATTTCCTTTTGTAAATGTTAAATAATCCCTCGGTTTTGCCATTCATGAGACTCGATCTGCTGCCCCCCCTTTTCTACGCTATCTGATTTGCTTTGGCCTGATTTGGGCCAAATTCAGGCACAATGATGTTGGCCATAGGGAAATTAGACTNAAGTTTTGCCATTCATGAGACTTGATCTGCTGCCCCCCCTTTTCTACGCTATCTGATTTGGTTTGGCCTGATTTGGGCCAAATTCAGGCACAATGATGTTGGTTATAGGGAAATTAGACTAACGTGTATCTGATTTGGTTTTCTTTTATTATTTTCATTTTTATTAAGGACAGATAATACTAGAAAAATCGTAATCACTCCTAGGTTGGCCTTTTGATGCTGAGACGAGCCCCGCCCAATAAACACAAAATGGTGAGGCTCTCAATGAATGGCTATTAAAATAATTAGAATTTGGGAGGGCCGTTTAGCGAATTTCATGGCCTCCCCAAAATAATAATACGTTAGAATCTTTAGGCACTGTTTAATTAAATTACTTTCTTAAACTCGGGTGCGCATTGATGTGACCCAAATCCAAATCTCGATGAAGTCGAAATGTGTTGACAATCACGGGCGCATTGATTGCGACGGGGTTCGAAACGCATTTTAACGGCATCGTAATTCTTATAAAATAAATAATGATAGAAAAGAGGTTCATAAATTGAGACGAGTCTCACCGCACAAAAATAAATAAATGTGGGGCCCTCAATAAATGGTTATTAAAAATGATTAGAATTTGGGATGGCCATTTAGTGAACTTCACGGTCTTCCCCAAAATAATATTACGTTAGAATCTTTAGGCGCGATTTTAATTAAATTACCTTCTTAAACTCGGGTGCGCATTGATGCGACCATAATCCAAACCTCGACGAAGTTGAAATGTGTTGACAACCACGGGTGCATTGATTGCAACGTGGTTTGAAATGCGTTTTCACGACGTTGCAATTCTTTTAAAATAAATAATGATAAAAAGCAGTTTATGAATAAAAGGCACATAAGCTAGCAGGTATAAAAATCAGATAAAATCAAATGCAACAGTTAAGCGACCGTGCTAGAACCACGAAACTCGGGAATGCCTAACACCTTCTCCCGGGTTAACAGATTCCTTACTCGGATTTCTGGTTCGCAGACTGTAACAGAGTCATATTTTTCCTCGGTTCGAGATTCAACCAGTGACTTGGGACACCATTAATCTCCCAAGTGGCGACTCTAATTACTTAATAATAAATCCCGTTCCGATTGTTCTTTAATTGGAAAAACTCCTTTACGCCCCTTGCGGGGGTGTAGGTAGAAAAAGGAGGTGTGACAATCAAGTGATTACTCAAGTTCCCAGCATTATCCGTAATGATAGTTGCAGGAATACCGAAACGGCAGATGATATTGGAGTGCACGAAGTCTACTACTGCTTTCTTAGTGACAGACTTGAGAGTGACTACCTCAACCCATTTCATGAAGTAATCAATGGCAACCAATATGAATCTATGCCCATTTGAAGCTTTTGGCTTAATTGGCTCAATGACATCCATACCCCAGGCAACGAACGGCCACATTGCTGACATAGGATGCAGTTCTAAAGGTGGTGCATGAATCAGGTCACCGTGCACCTAACACTGATGACATTTTGGGACAAAACTAAAGCAATCTTTTTCCATTGTCAACCAGTAATAGCCTGCTCAAAGGATTTTTTTTGCTAGGACGTCTCCATTCATGTGGGGCCCACACACCCCTTGGTGCACTTCATGCATGATTTTTCCGGCCTCTTCAGCATCCACACATCTTAAAAAGTTGAGATCTGGAGTCCTTTTGTACAAAACCTTGCCGCTCTAGAAGAAACCACTGGCAAGCCTTCTAATAGTTCTCTTTTGGTCTCCATTGGCTTGCTCGGGATGTTCTTTCGTTTTCAGAAATCTCTTGATATCATGATACCATGGCTGAACATTCAGTTCTGCCTCAACCGTATTGTAGTAACCATTCCTTTCTCGGATTTGGATTTCCAACAGGTCAATATGGAAATTTCCTGGATATGGCAACATCGAGGACAAGGTAGCGAGTGCATCAGCTAACTCATTGTGAAAAGGAGGAATGTACCTAAACTCGACTGACTTGAACTGCTTGCTAAGATCTTCCACATGTTGCCTATATGGAATGAGCTTGATATCCCGAGTTTCCCATTCTCCCTGAGCTTTTCGGATGATCAGATCCGAATATCCCATGATTATCAATTCTTCCACATCTTGGTCAATTTCCATATTCATACCCATAATGCAGGCTTCATACTCGACAGTGTTGTTTGTGCAGAAAAATAGAAGTCGAGCTGTGGTTGGATAGTGTTGACCAGTGGGTGAGATTAAAATTGCCCCAATCCCGACACCTTTTGCGTTCACCGCTCCATCGAAGAATATTTTCCAAGCACTGGCATCTTCTAAAATTACCTCAACTGAATTCACTTCCTCGTCCAGGAAGTAAGTACTCAAACGCTGATATTCATCATCAACAAAGGTTTTCAGCCAAGTGATCTACTAAAGCTTTGGCTTTCATTGCCGTGCGGGTGACATAGACTATGTCAAATTTAGTGAACAGGATATGCCTTTTTGCTAACCTCCCTGTGGGCATCGGTTTTTGGAATATGTACTTTAAAGGTTCCAGCCTGGTGATGAGGTAAGTGGTATAGGCCAACAGGTAATGCCTAAGCTTCTAAGCGATCCAAGTTAGAGCGCAGCAAGTCCTTTCCAACAAAGTGTATTTGGCTTCATAACTGGTGAACTTCTTGCTCAGATAGTATATTGCTTGTTCTCTCTTTCCGGTCACATCATGTTGCCCGATAACGCACCCAAAGGAATTTTCCAACACCATCAAATACAAAAATAAGGGCCTCCCAAGTTCGGGTGGGACCAACACTGGCGGATTTGACAGATATTTTTTGATTTTGTCAAAGGCTTTTTGACACTCATCTGTCCATTTAAACGCCGCATCTTTCTTCAACAACTTGAATATGGGCTCACAGATGGAAGTTATCTGAGCAATGAACCGGCTGATGTAATTCAACCTTCCCAAAAGACTTATAACCTCTTTCTTGGTTCTCGGAGGAGGCAAATCCCGAATAGATTTTATCTTTGTTGGATCTAACTCGATACCCCTCCGACTGACTATAAATCCCAAGAGTTTTCCAGGCGGAACTCCAAATGCGCATTTAGCCGGATTTAGCTTCAAGTCGTACTTATGCAGCCGCTCAAAGAACTTTCTTAGGTCCCGGACATGGTCGTCCTGTGTTCTGGATTTGATGATCACATCGTCCACATACACCTCGATTTCTTGGTGCATCATGTTGTGAAAGATGACAGTCATGGCCCTCATATAAGTTGCCCCGGCGTTCTTCAAACTGAAAGGCATGACCTTGTAACAATAGGTGCCCCAGGGTGTGGTGAAGGCTGTCTTTTCTGCATCTTCTTCATCCATCAAGACCTGATGATATCCAGCATAACAATCCACGAAAGATTGTATCTCATGTTTGGAACAGTTGTCAACAAGGATGTGGATGTTCGGCAAAGGGAAGTTGTCTTTGGGACTTGCTTTGTCAGATCTCGATAGTCAACACACACCCGAGTTTTCCCATCTTTCTTTGGCACGAGAACCACATTAGCTAACCATGTGGTGTATCGGACCACTCGGATCACCCCCGCCTTTAACTGTTTCGTGACTTCCTCTTTGATCTTGTCACTGATATACGTTTTGTAATTCCTTTATTTTTGCTGGACATGGGGGTAATCAGGGTAAGTCGGCAACTTGTGGACCACTAAATCGATGCTTAATCCTGGCATGTCATCATAGGACCTAGCAAACACATCTTTGAATTCGAACAAAAGTTGGATCAATGTATCCCTTGTTCTTTCATCGGCATGAATGCTTATCATGGTTTATTGGACCTCTTCAGGACTACCCAAATTAACCGGCTCGGTTTCATTTAAGTTTGGCTTAGGTTTATTCTCGAAATGTTCCAATTCTCAGTTTATTTCCCTAAAAGCCTCTTCTTCATCATATTCCAATTCTTGATTCATTATTTCATAATTAGACAGCGTGTTTGGATCTGGGCATAAAGTCCGCAAGAATGTCATGTTATTTAAAGCCGTATTATTAGAACTGAAAGAAGAAATAAGAAAAAGTAACAAAAATCAGAAAGAATAAAGAGAGATTCATGAACGATGAAATATTGATCTCATTTCATTGAATTTTGAAGATAACAGGGTTTACATCGGGAATTCAAAGACAGTAAATTAAAAGAAACATCCGAGTTACACCCTAAAATAACTCGTGATGTAGAAAAGGCGGCAAGACTAGACTACTAGAATTCCCGCCTGACTAGGAACGGAGTAGCCTTCCAGTTTTGCAACTTGGCATTGAGCCCCATATACAGCACCTCAGCGGTGCTCGAGCCTTCTCCCGGCTGAACCATGTGGGTTCATACAACATCTGCTGCATGGCTCCATATATGTACTCACTCTCCTCGGCCGTGAAGGCCTCATCATCTTCTTCTTCTTTGTTGTACTTGGGCCTGACGAATGTTTTGTAGAGATGCAGAACCGACTGAGGTAAAACCCAACCATTGCTCTTTCGTTCATTTGCCCATGTCACATCAGCCTCTATGGCATGATAACCCACACCGAAGAACTTCTCGCTAGTAGGTAAAGTGATAGGTTCTGTGATACCTTGCAATGATGCCCCGAGTCCCTTCCCAGGCTTATAACCATGCTTGATCATTTCAGTAGCAACCATGATGGATGCATTTGATAGAAAAGGCTGAGGACAAGGGCTTCCCTCCTCATATTGATCTGCGACCACCACCTCGAAACTTGATAAACTATATGCTCGCTACCTTCCTTTGCTTTGAGATATGGGACTGATGGGTCCCGGTAGATTGATTACTCGTATTCTCCATGAACCACAATTTCCTGGTCTTCATATTCAAATTTCACCATCTGGTGGAGAGTGGAAGGTACGGCCCTTGCCGCGTGAATCCAAGGTCTTCCCAAGAGGAAATTATAAGAAGTGTCCATGTCTAGGACCTGAAATGTCACCTAGAAATCCACAGGACCAATAGTCAAGATCAAATCGATCTTACCTATGGTGTCTCTCTTGATGCCGTCAAAGGCACGCACACAAACATTATTAGGCCTGATTCTCTCAGTCTCAATCTCCATTCTTAGCAAAGATGAGAGAGGGCATATGTCGACCCCCGATCCACCGTCTACCATGACTCTTTTTACATAGTACCCCTCACATTTAGCTATCAAATGGAGGTCTTTGTTGTGGGCGGCCACTTCCAGGGGCAAATCATTCTTGCTAAAGGAAATTTGATTGACTGCGAAGAATCTTTCTGCCATCCTTTCGGGTTGTTCGACAGTGGTTTCAATCAGAACATAAGCTTCATTGAGGGTTTTTATCAACACTTTCTGATGCTCAGTTGAGCTTATTAGTAGAGACAACAACGAGATCTGAGCGGGAGACTTTCAGAGTTGGTCAATTATCTCGTAGTCCATAGTTTTCATTTTTCAGAAGAACTCTTCTGCTTCTTCAGCACTGACTAGCTTTTTGATCGGGAAGCGTTTCTACTTGGCATTGTTCACTTCTCCCATATTAAGGTATCTGTCAGCTGGGTTAGTTTCATTTGCTTCTCCCAGGACCTCTTTTCCCTTGTAGGTTAATACTGCCTTGTTGTAATTCCATGGGACGACATTAGGGTCTGTCATGGGCTTCTGCGGTGCGCGACCAATAACCACTAGCTCCTTAGCCTTAGTAAAATTACTGGCCCCCGTACCACATAGGTCCCTTTAGGCACGTACATCTTAGGTCCCTTTAGGCACGTACATCTTAGGTCCTTTGTTCAGCTCGAACCTTTTTGGAGGGCTCAAGGTCATTTGATCTTTCCTATGAACCCGAGGAACACAAAGAATGGCATCCTTTGGGGGTACTGCCCCAGTTTTGGTTTCCACCATCTTTTCTGTATTTTGAGGGGTGGGTTTACTCTTCTTCTCCCCCTTGTTTTGCTTTGCAGCAGCCTTTGGCTTCTTCTCGACATCAACGATTCCAATGATGGCTTTCAAAGCGGGATCAAACTCCTTATCTTCGCAGATTATTCCAATAACCGACCCGTTGTTGTGAGTTGGTAATGGGTTGTTGGTCACATTAGGAATTTCTTCATCTTTTAACACTATATATTTTTGCTCTATGAGATTTTCAACAGCCCTTTTCAGGGTCCAACAGTCTTCAGTGTCATGTCATTCCGCTCCCGAATGGTAAGCACATCGAGTATCAGCTCGGTAGGAGGGAGACTCTAGGTTTTACCTGGTCTGGGGTACGTGTTGCAACAAACCCATTTGGATTAGTTTAGGGAAAAGGCTAGAGTATGACTCACTAATAGGCATGAAGTTTGTTCTCCTGGGTGGCTCCCGAGCACGGGCATTGTAGGGGAAGTTATTTTATGGAGGTCGGGGATTATACTGAGCTTGGTGGGGAGGGTGATTTCTAGGAAATGGAACTCGGTTTTGGTTGAACGGTTGTTATGGCCGAGCGTATGGTCGGGCATTCATTACTGCGTACGACTGAGGAGCCATAGCATAGGCCACATCCTGATGAGGATAATAATGTTGTGGGGTGCTTGGAGGGAAGTAACCTCTGGGTGGACGGGGGTTTCTCAGACTTGAAGTTGCCATCGCCACCTTTTCTTTCTTATTTCCATTTGCTACAACTCTAGACCCGCTTTGAATTTCTTGGGATGTAGCTCTTATGGCAGATTGGCTCAATATGCGCCCTGTTTTCAGACCATTCTCGACTATCTCACCAATCTTGATGGCCTCAGCAAACGGTTTCCCCATTGCAGATATCATATTCTGAAATTAGTCAGCCTCTTGGGCTTGTAGAAAAACACTAACCATTTCCGTTTCATCCATCGGGGGCTTGACTCTGGCCGCTTGTTCGCACCAAATAACAACATATTCTCGAAAACTTTCTGATGACTTCTTCTTGAGATTCGACAGAGAATTCCTGTCGGGAGCTATGTCTATGTTATACTGAAACTACCTGACAAAATCTCGAGCCAGATTATCCTAAATGTGCCAACGAGATATGTCCTGATCCATGTACCACTCAGATGCAATGCCAACTAGACTCTCTCCGAAATAAGCCATTAGGAGCTCTTCTTTTCCGTCGGCCCCTCGTAATTGATTGCAATACCTCTTGAGATGGGCTATGGGAT